CCTGCTGGGTCAGACCAGGGAGGGTCCATCTAGTCCAGCCTCCTGTCTCACACCGTGGCCAGCCAGTTCCTCTGGAGAGCCAACAACAGGGCAGAGAGTCTGAAATCTTCCCCTGATAAGAACATCAGAAGAGCCCTGCTGGATCAGACCAGTGAGCGTCCATCCAGTCCAGCCTCCTGTCTCACACAGGGGCCAGCCAGTCCCTCTGGAAGGCCAGCAACAGGGCAGAGAGTCTGAAATCTTCCCCTGATAAGAACATCAGAAGAGCCCTGCTGGAACAGACCAGGGAGGGTCCATCTAGTCCAGCCTCCTGTCTCACACCGGGGCCACCCAGTTCCTCTGGAGGGCCAGCAACAGGGCACGGAGGCCGAGACCTTCCCCTGATAAGAACCTCAGAAGAGCCCTGCTGGATCAGACCAGGGAGGGTCCATCCAGTCCAGCCTCCCGTCTCACACAGGGGCCAGCCAGTTCCTCTGGAGGGCCAGCAACAGGGCAGAGAGGCCGAGGCCTTCCCCTGATGTGGCCTCCTGGCACTGGGACTCAGAGGCTGACTGCCTCTGGACATGGAGGTTCTCTTCAGTCACCACGGCTACTAGCCACTGAGAGACCAGGCCTCCATGAATCTGCCTCATCCCCGTTCAGAGCCATCGGCCGTCACTACGTCCTCCTGCAGCGAATCACACATTTTAAACTCGCTGTGTAAAGGAGCACCAGACACCAACAGGGCCAGGATCCTCCTCTGCCAGACCCCCCTCCCCATGATCATTCCACTCTCCTGCCCCCCAAGCTCCCTTTGCTCTAAGCACCAGACCCCCTTTCCCTCCCAGAGAGCATCTGCGTCCCTTCAGGGGCAGCCAAAGAGAGTCCCACTGCCAAAGGACCCAGGCGTCCGGGTCTTGTTCCCCCCCCCCACGCACACTCACTGCCCACTCTGTGGACTCTCTCGGATGTTCTGCAAAGGGGGCACTCGAGCCCAGGACCCCAGGGCCCAGGCTGCCCCGTCCCACTCCAGCAGTCGATTCGAGAACACCGGGCAACTGAGCCTGGAGGAGGAGACGTCCGCATTCTCGCGGCATGTCTTACGTTGTTCATCCGCGCGGCGGCCTGCAGGACGGCCGTCAGGAACCCCGTGGGGAAGGTGAAGCCCGAGAGCCAGAAGAGCACGGGAGGGTGCGCCGTCTTGGCCCAGCGGGCAAACTGCTCCACCCGCTGGCCCAGGTCTCGGGTCCAGGCGCCCAACAGCTTCTGCGACTGGTATGCCTGCCAAAAGAGAAAGGCGCGTGGGGTGACCGGCTGGCTCCCGAGGAAGCCAGAGGCGGGGGGGGGGGGGGGGCCCACTTGCTTAGTCAGAAGGAGCCTTCCTTACGCACTCTGGCCCATTAATCACATTGTTAACCTCTGGTGCCTGCTGCTGGCGCCCTGATGGGGGCCAAGCATGAGGAGGCAGTGGGAGGGCCCAAGCGGGACTCCTCGCCCCTTCAGACGCTGTCCACAGGGGATGTGGTGGAACCCCATTCCGAGAAAGGCCACAGTGAACGCTTCCCTCGGGTCCATTTTCACCAGCCCAGGGGCCGCCCTCCCCGGGACTTCCACCTGCCCTGCAGAGGAAAGAGGGCAGGGGCCCACTTGCAACCTGGATGTTTCCCAGCGGGCTGTGGTATTGTGACCATGCTGGGGGGAGAGAAGCACCACAACCCCCTCCTTCCCAGGCCACCGTTTCCAGTCTGGTTTTGGGCCTCCCCACGGTTCTCCATTCACAGATTTCCCCATCGTTTCGTTTCGGTTTGACCTTTCTGAGGGAAGACCCGGGGCCTAGCAGTGCCACTTTACCCTCAGAAAGACATGTTTGAAATAGCTCTTTCCCCTCTGAGAGGTGCCTCATATCCCAGCAAAGATTTCTGAATTATATATTTCCCCCCCCCCATTATACAGAATCACATATTTCTCCCCACCCACCACAGGAACTTTGTAGGGTGACCAACCTCCAGGTGGGGCCCGGAGATCTCCCACAATCCCCACTGATCTCCCGGCTACAGAGATCACTTTCCCTGGGGGAAAAATGGCTGCCGTAGAGGGCGGTCTGCCAAGATCCCTCCCCTCCCCAAACCCCAGCCCCCAAATCTCCAGGAACTCCCCAACCCAGAGCTGACGGCCCTAGAGAAAGGGAGGGGAGGCAGCCCGAGAAGAAAGGAGAAACTGACTGGTCCGACGTGGAACTTCGCAACAGCTTCTCCCGAAGGGGATTTCCCTCGTGAAGTCAAGAGAATTTTGTACAGGAAGAAAAAAGGGGGGGACGGGGGCGTTTCTCCCAAATGGCTCTAGTGGAGGAAGGGCTGACAGGCTCTTGCGCTGAGGCTTCAGACGCCCCGCCCCCGTGCTCCCCTTGGGCCTCCCGCCAGGTGGGGAAGGCCGCCCACGTTCCGAGCGGCGCAACCCTTACCCTCTCCCACATGGGGGGCACGCGGGCATCGAAGATGCAGTTGAAGATCTCCTCCAGGTCCGTCGACATGACCACCAGGCCCTGAATGCCCTTCTCCAGCTCCACCAGGGAGGAACTGCCAAGGGGAGAAGTGGGGAAAACTCTGTCTGCGCCACGCGGAGGCCCGGCTGGCGCAAGACCCTCCCTTACTTTTCCCTGCGCCAGGGCCAGCTGCTGAGCGTATGCAGAGCGACTCTGACCTCTGAGGAGCCACTGCCCACACAGCTTCCTGGACGGAGGGGCCAGCCGCAAAATGGCCGGAACTGGCCTCCAGTCACCCAGTGACGACCCTCTTGCTGTGGCAGCAGCTGCTGCCAAAGCAACGTTTTTAAAAATCTGCCCAGCCCGTTGGTGGGCCAGTTTGGTGTCGTGGTTAAGTGCACGGACTCTAATCTGGGACAACTGGGTTTTAATCTCCTCCTCCTCCTCCTCTATGGAGCCCCAGGGCCCTACCTTGCAGGGGGGGACCCTGGTTTAAGCTATTCCTACACTCCTCTCTTCCCCCCCCCCCCAGGAAATGCACTAAACCATAAAAGAACAGTTGGGAGATCCAATCCCAGATCGCCCACACCACAGGGTGCTTATTACCCTGGAGAAAAACCCCACTGTGGGTCGCTTCAGCTGAGGCTTTGACCCCAGCCTGAAAGGGAGCCACGCAGAGGGGCCAGTGCACTTGAATCGGGGCTGGGAGCGAAGGGGCCCGCAATTGCACATGAGAGCTGGGCAGCCCCCCACCCCACCCCCAGGACGCTCACTTGATGACTTGCAGCAAGGAGTTGTAGCGCTGGATCTCCTGGAGCAGGACCACATTGAGGGGGGAGGGATCCGTGGAGAGCATCTTGCGGGTGCCCTCGTAATCGATCTCCTCTGGGATCTTGCTGCGCACATCAGCCGAGAGCTCCAGCACCTGGGGTGAGGGGAGGCAAGGTGAAGGCAAGGTCTCGGGGGGGGGGCTGCAGGTAGCCAGCTTGCGGGGAGGGGGGCAGCCAACTTGAAGGAGCTTCCTGGCTCTCAGGGGCTTCCACTGCTCTTGGCCCCAGATGACCAGCTCACACGACTCCTGCAGAACCCGGACCCTCAACCACCTGCTTTGGGGACCATGGAAGGCCCTGGGCATCCTGGCACCAGCCTGGTAAGGTATGAAGCTGCTGCCGAGAACAGCACGACACCAGGCAAGTACGAAGCCCACGGCCGTGGCCAGAAAGCATCCCCCCCATACACGGGACAAATTCTCCATCTTTCTTTCTTTAACAGTCTTTCTTTAACAAACACCACCCTCTGTTTCCACCCTCGCACTGAAGCCCCCGCTCCTAGGAATTTCGCCACCGCCAAAGTAATACCCGGATCAGTCTCACCAAGCAGAAGAGGCATGGAAACAAGGGAAACCTTGGATCACCGGCTGAGCCCTCGGATCTTTCAAAGGGGCCATCAGCACATGATCCAAGAAAACGGAATGACGTTTCAGTTGTCCCAGACCCACAAGCACATAACCTGTCTGAGTGATCCCCAGAATCAACGCACCAAAAGATGGGACAAATTCAAGGCTTCCCATCAGAAGTCTCTCTTTAGGAATCACCCACGTTCCATCTTGCAAAGGGAAACGGGTGTGCACGATATGCGTGGAACTCCCAAGTGACTGATGCGGCAGTCGGATGTGTGGGGAAAGCCCAGGCGTGTCAGTCAGTAGCCCAGGTGTGTGCCCAAGGCTCCTTCTTGCTGCTCAAGACATCAGGAGGGCTCCAGAGCACCAGACCTCAGGAACCTCAGAAGAGCCCTGCTGGGTCAGACTAGGGAGGGTCCCTCTCGTCCAGCCTCCCGTCTCACACAGGGGCCAGCCGGTTCCTCTGAAGGGCCAGCCACAGGGCAGAGAGGCCGAGGCCTTCCCCTGATAAGGACACCAGAAGAGCCCTGCTGGGTCAGACCAGGGAGGGTCCCTCTAGTCCAGCATCCCGTCTCACACAGGGGCCAGCCAGTCCCTCCGGAGGGCCAGCAACAGGGCAGGGAGGCCGAGGCCTTCCCCTGATAAGGACACCAGAAGAGCCCTGCTGGGTCAGACCAGGGAGGGTCCCTCTAGTCCAGCATCCCGTCTCACACAGGGGCCAGCCAGTTCCTCTGGAGGGCCAGCAACAGGGCAGAGAGGCCGAGGCCTTCCCCTGATAAGGACACCAGAAGAGCCCTGCTGGGTCAGACCAGGGAAGGTCCCTCTAGTCCAGCATCCCGTCTCACACAGTGGCCAGCCAGTTCCTCTGGAGGGTCAGCAACAGGGCAGAGAGGCAGAGGCCTTCCCCTGATAAGGACACCAGAAGAGCCCTGCTGGGTCAGACTAGGGAGGGTCCATCTAGTCCAGCATCCCGTCTCACACAGTGGCCTGCCGGTTCCTCTGGAGGGCCAGCCACAGGGCAGAGAGGCTGAGGCCTTTCCCCGATGTTGCCCCCTGGCTCTGGGATTCAGAGGCTGACTGCCTCTGGCTGGGGAGGCTCCCTTTAGTCACCCTGGACCTCCCTGGGAAGCTACCTAACTCCCCTTTAAAGCCCTCGATGCTCGCAGTGAATTCCAAAAGTTAGTCACTTGTCAAGTCAAGGGGTACTTATTTTTTGTCCATCCTGAATCTATTGCTCATCAATTTCACGGGGCGAAGTTCTAGCACTGAGTGCTAGTATTACGGAAGGGGGAGGGAAAAGTATCTCCATACAACCTCCCCACCCCCGTGCATGATTTTATCAACCTTTATCATGTCCCCCTTTAGTCGTCTCTTTTACAAACCAAGACGACAAGACTCTTCAGCCTTTCCTCACAAGAAAGGTGCTCCAAGTGCTCTTCTGTACTTTTCCCAGATGTGCAATGTCCTTTTCCAGATGTAGTGACCACAACGGCACACAGTTTACAGGGACATTACGATATGGTCCCTTTTACTTTCCCAACAGTCTCCCATTTTCTTCAGGGCCGCCGCATGCAGATCTTCATCAAGCCGCCCGCCAGAACCCCAGCTCCCTTTCCCTCTCGGCCTGGGCCTCCTCCCGCCCTTTGGCCCTGGCCCCCCCTGCTGCGTACCTTGTCCTCCCGGCTCTGCCCAGCCATCCCCCGAGGCATGGTCTGGGGCTGCAGGGAGAGGAGGGTTTCAAAGAGCGTCCGGGCTTCGGTGATCTGGGAGGCCACGTCGGCGTTGGGGTGCTGGCCAAAGGCTTCCGGGGGGTCCATGCCGGGCAGCAGGCTGATGTAGTCCTTGTAGGATCCCAGGTTGCCATCCTTGGGGATGTAGTAAATGTCCAGCACCGAGAGCCTGAGGAGGGGACAGGGGCGCTCAGGGCCTGCAGACGGTCCCGCATCGTGGATCCCCCTTCCCTGGGGACCCACCCCCGCCAGGATGTTTGCCCCACATATGCCAGCCCCCACAGCCACGTTTGAAACACCAGAGCTGGTCTCGGTTGGCCTCTTTTCGGCATTGCTTCTAATGAAACCCGCACTTTCGAGAAGCGATGCAGGACTTAAGAAGAAAAGGGAAAACCACTTCTGGAAAGCATTTTGTGGTTCCTTCAGGACACTTTTGATAACTGGAGATTTGATTGGCTGTGCAGATTTTTTTTAAAAAAATGTTGCCTTGGCAGCTGCTGCCACCACTGTGCGACTGAAGGTGAGCCGCGGCAGCCATTTTGCAGCTAGCTCCACCTCCTGTGGCAGCCATTTTGTGGCTGCACTCATCATGCTGTGTCAGGATCCCAGAGGAGCCTGCAGGCTCAAGAAGGTTGGGGATCCCTGGCTCAGTGCAAGCAGAACCCTGGAGGGCTTCCCCCCTGAGGGAGGGGGAGGGGAGGGGGCAATGAACAAGAAGAAAAAGAAGAGATTGGATTTATACCCTGCCCTTCACTACCCAAGGGAGTCTCAGAGCGGCTGACAAACTCCTTCCCCTTCCCCTCCCCACAACAGACACCCTGTGAGGTGGGCGGGGCTGAGAGAGCTCTGACAGAAACGGCTCTTTTTCAAGGACAGCTGTGCCAGAGCTTGTGACTGATCCAAGGTCACATCAGCAGGTGCAAGTGGAGGAGTGGGGACTCAAACCCGGGTCTCCCAGATTAGAGTCCGCACACTTAACCACGACACCAGACTGGCAAAAGGAAGGTTTTCTCAGGAAGGAGGGAAACCAGGCCTCCATGTGCTCGACAGAGAGTCAGAGAAGTGGCTTATGCTCTTCCGTGGCCAGAGGGTATGACTTTCCCCCCCTTAGACAGGGAAAACAACCCTGTAAGGAGGGCAGCTCCCCAAGGAGGAAGAGAGAAAGAGGAGCCGTGGATCACGCAGAGCAAGGCAAAGCACAGGGGGAAACACACCCACACCCACACCCACACACACACACCGTGTTCCAGACCTGAGCCACGCAGGGGACCGAACCAGCCGACCCCAACGTAAGAACCATCCTCTGAGCCGAGGTCATCCTCCACAGCCAGAAGATTCCCACCCACCCCCCGCTCTCTCTAGCAATGCGCCTCGCACCCCCCCCCCTCCTACCTGTAGGCGGGGGCGGCCACAGCCTGCTCACAGAAGTAGTCGTTGATGTAAGTGGTGAGGAGGCGCCGGTCCCAGTCGTCCGTCACGTGGCCCCCGTAATTGACGCCGGCGATCAGGTACTTGAGGGCGTCCCAGGGCGTCTCTTCGTACTCGTCCAGGTACAGGCTCAGGAGGTTCTCGGACACCTGGAGACGGGGCCAGAACAGCCAGCTGTAAGCGGGGACGGAGAAGCGAAAGGGCCGGGCCTTTGGGCACTGCAAGGGGCAGGACTCGGGACGTCTCGGCCTGGCACGGCTGGACCTTGCGCTCTGGGCTGTGACACGGTAGAGAGCCAGGGCGCTGTGACTGTGGTTGTGCCCCATGACCAATGCTCCCCCTAAGCTGTGGAGTCCTGTGAGCAAAAATTCTACTCTGTGAGCTACTGGCATTAAAGCTGCGAGCGAGCAATTTGGCTGCTGCAGAAATGTGTTTGCTCTGGAGCCCTCCTTCCTGAGCGGAGACAAAAATGTCTGAGCGAGAAGCTAAGAACTATGAGCTAGCTCACACTAACTCTGCTTAGAGGCAACACTGCCCATGGCTGGCGGCACAGGGGGCCCTACAAGGATCACCACTGCCCTGAGTGTCTCTCTGACCAATCTGTCCGACATCGGCCCCCTCCCCTCTGGGAGCAGGACGACAGCCGCAGGACACAAAAAGGAATGGGTCTGCCCCACAGTTGTGGGGCTCTGGGACATGGCCGTACAATAGCCTCGACAGCCCGGAACCGGAGTGCCTCCCTGGCTGGCCTCCCCAGCCCCCCACGCCCAGCCCTCCGCCTTCCCCCTCAGCCACCTCAAAGTCTGAGTCGTTGAAACCGTAGATGATGTTCCAGCCCAGCTGGAGGAACTTTTTGCGTTCCAGGAGGATGCTGTGGAAGAAGCACAGGGCAAAGAGCAGCTTCTTGTACTTGGAGGGCTTCGTGCAGCGGGTGAACTGGGGCTCCGTGATGAGTTGGTAGAGGCGCTTCATGTTGGCCTTCAGGCCCTGTCGACGCAGAGAGAAGGGTGGGGGAGAGGTTGGCGCTGACCTCAGGCCCAGCGGGAGGCACGGGGTGTGTGTGTGTGTGCCCAGGCCTGGCCTAGCGAGAGTTGCCAGCAACACGGGCCTGTCCCGCTCGGGTCAAGAGGGTGGAGCCATTGGTGGTCACTAAGTGGCATTGGTGGTGGCTAAGTCGTTGCTGGCCGCAATGGATCGACTTATTCGCTTCATTTAAATCCCACCTTTCTCCCTAATGAGGACCCAAAGCGGCTTACGTGGTCCTCCTCTCCTCCGTTTTTATTCTCACAACAGCCCTATGGGGTAGGTGAGTCCAAGAGAGTGTGTGACGGGCCCAAGACGGGGATTCGAGCCCAGGTCTGCCGGATCCTATTCTGACACTGCAGCCATGCCCCCGAGTCCTTCTGAAGGGGCGTGGCCTGCGTGCCAGCAGACTGCGAGGGTCCCCGCTGCAGCTTCTCTCCCAGGCCCTGGGGTCCAGAGGCGAAGCAGCCGCCTGGGCGCCTCGAGGGGCGGAAGAGGCGGAAGAGGCAGCCCCAGGAGCAGGGCTGGGAGAGGGCGTCTCTGCCTGCCTCCATTCCCCCCCCCCGGGGGGGGAGGGAGCTTCTCTCTCACCGAGGGAGGCTCCGTGGTCATCTTGATGCCGGCCTGCAGGATGGAGATGGGGAAGTCGGGGTGGGGGCTGGAGCTGAGCCACAGGCGGAAGGACTGGTGCGGCTCCTCCACCTGCAGCTGTTCCACCAGCTTGTCCAGCTGGGGCATCCAGGAGAGCGAGAGGTGGCAGTTGGCCAGGAACACCCAGTTGCCTGCCGGGAAGCACACGGAGGGAGGGAGTTAGGGGCAGAGGGGGCCAGCGGGAGGGGAGGGAGCGGGCCCAGGAGGGGGAGAGCTGGAGGAGGAGGCCGTGGGGGGGGGACCTGCTGGTGAATGGGGGGGGCTCCACCCCTGAGCACGCCAAGCTGCCTTCAACTGGCACAGTCCCTGGGTCCACCAAGGTCCGTCTGCCCTAGTCAGACTGGCAGCCCCCCTCTCCAGGGTCCCAGGCAGGGAACTTCCACATCACCTCCTGCCTGGTCACTCTTAACGGGGGAGGCTGCTGCTGGGGACTGGACCCATGGACACCAGGCAGAGACTGGCGGCCACTCTCCAGTGTCTCAGGCCGAGACCTTTCACATCACCCACTGCCTGGTCCTCACTGGAGAGGCCAGGGGTGGAACCTGGGGCCTTCTGCACGCCAAGCAGAGGCTCTTCCCCTGAGCCACGCTGCCTCCCAGCATGGCAAGGTGAGGAGAGGAGAGGGGCGGGTGAGGCTGGGGGAAGGCGCCCGGTCCTCCCTCGCCCTTTGGCCCTCACCTTGATGGACGCCGTCCTTGATCATGCGGGTGGCGATTGGAGCCTGGCCCTGCCCCAGGGAGAGGGCGTGGAAGCGCTGGGCCATGCCCGAATGCTCCGCCAGCTGCAGCAGGGAGGAGGTGGGGTCCACGCCAGGTGACAGCACAAAGATCAGCGGGGTCTTTGTCGTGGAGTCATCCACCACCTGAGAGGGACAGAGGCGGGGGTGAGACGGAAACCCAAGTGCCTCCGCTCCAGCAGGCCTGCTTCCTCTGCCCAGGGCCAGTCAGGACCAAGTCTGGGGATCCGGGGTCCACCGGCCCCCTCCAGCTGACGTCTCGGTGGGCCTCCTCAAAAGGCCTCCAGCACCAGGGCCAAGCACAGCCGTGCTGCAGAGAGTGTCGCCTGCAGCAGGAAAGGGAAGAGGGGACCACGGGCCAGACCCTGGCAGAGGGGGCAGGCGGGCCGGGCCTCTTGGGGGCTGCATCCTGGAGACTCCCGACACCAAGGCACGGCCCCCTCCTGGGGCCGGCAGCACCAGGCACTCACCAACTTCATGTTCAGCACCGGCGGCTCAATGAACTGGGAGCCCAGGTTCGAGATGATGAACGCCGTGACGCAGAAGGCCACGCGGTCCGGCCTCAAGGACCGGACGATGAGCATCCGCTGCATCTGGTTGCAGGAGTTCTCCCACTCCCCTGCGGGGAGCAACCGGGCAAGGTGAGAGGCTGCCCTGGGAGGAGGATCCCCCCCGCCCCCCAATCTGTGGGCTGGGTGTCCGTTAATCAGGCCTGCAGGCCCCAGCGGAAGTGACCGTGAACACACCTGAAGCCGCCTTCAACTGGCACAGTCCCTGGGTCCACTAGGGTCCGTCTGGCCTAGTCAGAGTGGCAGCCCCCTCTCCAGGGTCCCAGGCAGGGGACTTCCACGTCACCTCCTGCCTGGTCACTGTTCACGGGGGAGGCTGCTGCAGGGGAGGCTGCTGCAGGGGACTGGACCCAGGCACGCCGAGCAGATGCTCTTCCACCGAGCCACAGACCCTGCCTAAAGTCCTCATCTCCTGGACTGAGATCCCCAAGCCCTCTGGGCTGCTCACTTGCTGAGTAACAGGAGGGGGTCAGCTGGGAGGTGCCGCAAAAGGCAAAAGGCTGGAGGCCAGCCCAGGCATCCTTTCCCATCACGCGTGGGTCTGGTAACCTGGCCCCTTCCTCGGGCAGGAGTGAACTGCCAATCCAACGGCCTCTGCCTCCCGTCCCCAGCCCAGGCTCAGCGAGAGGGAACGCGACAGCCAGCTGCCCGGGCCGATCTCGTCCAGCCAGCCAGCCAGCCCAGCCGGTGCCGTGCCCCACCTGGTAACATGGCCTTCTCGGGCTTGGAGTTGGTGTACCAAAGGTTCCAGTCACGGGGATACTGCTCGAAAGAGTTCATGATGCCGTGGAAGTTGGTGAGCTTGTCCAGCTCGGTGATGTTGTCCCAGTAGACGTCGGCCAGCCAGCTGGTGCACGGATTGTCCATCTGCCCTTCCCTGTCCAGCACCTGCAAGGAGGGACGAGTGGGGGGGCTGCGTCACCCTCTCACCCAGGGGCCTCCGGCCTTTTAGCGCCTCCAGGCCCGACTGGAATTCTGACACAGGGCCGTAGGGCAATTTACAAAATGGCTCCCGCGGGAGGCAGAGCCAACCACAAAATGTCAGGGAGCGAGGTGACAGGCAACTCTAACAGTGCCTCTTCGACATTCCAGGCAGACGTTCTGTTGAACAGGATGCTTTTCAGTCTGCATAGCCAATCAGGACCCCTACTGGGCAAAAGCCCCACCCATGCTTGGAAGGCACTTGGCAGGCAGCAGGAAAGGTGCCGGCAGACCCCCCACGGCACCCACGGACACCATGCTGAAGACCCTGCTCTAGCCTATGGAAGCCTCTGGGCAAAGCTGAGAACCTCTCTGTGCCAGAGACACCAAGCAGGGGATGCCCACCTAGCAGGTAAAAGGTAAAGGTTCCCCTTGCTCTAAAGCCAGTTGAATCCGACTCTAGGGGGCGGTGCTCATCTCCGCTTCCAAGCCAAAGAGCCAGCACTGTCCGAAGACGTTTCCGTGGTCATATGGCCGGCATGACTGAACGCCAAGGCACACGGAACGCTGTGACCTTCCCGCCAAACGCTGTGACCTTCCCACCTGCAATTTCTTGCTTTCGAACTGCTAGGTTGGCAGGAGCCACCTACCAGGAGGAGACCCCAATTCTGACAAGCTGTGGTTTCCTCCAAAAGCCAGGCTCCAGCGCTCTCGCTGCAAGGCAGACAAGTGCACCCAGACATCTGGGATGTACCCCCCCGCCCGGTCCTGTCCTGGGCACGGAGGGTGCCAACCAGAAGTCACCCATTCCTGCTCCAAGGAAGGGGGTGCTTCTTCCCCAGGTGAAAACTGTCCTTCCGGGAAGAAGAATGGCACATGTGCAATGTGGAGCCCCGGGAATAAAATCCAGGAGCCACGGGAATGGGGGGACCAGGAGCTCAGAGAGGGCCCGCTGCCTCCTGTGCCAACCCCGGTGGTGGCCCTGGCAGTGAACAGCCTTGTCCAAGCGTGGGCAAGAGACTGCTCCTCTCCTTACTGGCCTCCCTGCCAGGCTACCCTGCCCTGTCCCTCGAGGAGAGAGGGGGGGTGGCGTCCTGCTTTCCTGCAATTCTCTGTCCGGTTGTCATGGACAGGGCTTGGCCCCGCTTCAAGAGCAGCTCAGATGACAAAGCCGGGCAAACTGGGAGAGCTGCCCAGCTCTCTCGGTGGAGGGCCCCTGGGAGAGCAAACCCCTTGCTGCCCTTGACTGCCCTGGAGAGGGGGAAGGAGAGAGGAAGATTTCAAAGGGAGCTCAGGGAGCGGAACGTGGTGCTGTTTGGGCCGAAGTTTCCAAGAGCTGCAGCAGGGCAGGGCAACGAGAAAGCCAGGCGGGAGGGCCAGGGTTCGTTCCAATGGTGGAAAAGCTTCCCGTTGGAGACTCATCAAAGCCCGAGCTTGCACATTTCCAGAAGCTCTGCAAGATCGCATCGGTTAGTTTAAATCCAGATGTGAGATTTATCCTTGCCGCCATGCCCTTCCCCTTTGCTTTCCCTTCCTTCCAAGACTGGCAGGCACTCAGCCTCCAAACCTGTCCACGCGACACAGTTTCTCCTGCGCAAGACCCCGCTGTGAGGTTTTTCCCCCCACCCTGATCTCTGATTTCCGACAAAACCTGCGCTACTTGTCAACATTCTGTTACCGACACTTTCATCCTGAAGTGCTAGAATGTCCGCTGGCATTCCATGACATCATTAGAGTACAGGAAGCAAGCAAAGGTCAGCGTTTAATCTCCAAGAGAACCTCTCAGTAAAGCTTTAATGGCCAATGTTGAGAAGTGCCCCCATGGCTGGCAAAAAGGAAAAGTGCTGGGGAATGAGACATCAAGCCCCAAACATAGAACATGTCAGTGCTTATAGGTGCAAATGGCTCTGGCCAGGAGTAAGACAAAAGCTTTAGCATCTAACACATGCTGGAATGTCACACCTGAAGGGCCAAAGACTAAGACAGCCCGAAGGCTAGATCATATTTGCTTCTTTTGGGGGACAGGAACATCAGGACTGTATCGGGCTGGGGCCTCTCAAAGGGGAGATTAGAAATTCTTAGGACACGCAGAAGAAGCTCTCGTATCTTTTGGCCTTTGGCCCAGGAGGTGCAAGCCAAGACAAACCAAGCCTTTACGAAGAGACTCCATCTTGACCATGTGTCAAGTGACAGTCGGGAGAAGTCCCAGCTCTGAGAACCAAGGCAGTGAATGACATTTAAGCACTGCAAGATGCATGAATATCTATCCTATCCTATCACACATCTGCCATTTTGCAACCTGGGGACGGAGAGCTCACCAGCCACCTCTCCTTTTTATTGCTCTTTAGAAGGTGGGACTGAATAGGCGTGGTATGTTTAGAGAGACCAGGCCCCGAGCATTCAAAATGCAAGTGTAGTAAACAAAAATAAAAAGGGTACCCATCCTCTGTACAAACTTCAGGCTGAGTGGGGATATAGAGAAAAAGGTGAAAACATGCACTCCTCTAAATACTGGAGACTAAACGTATCCTGAATGGTTTTAATTAGGATAGGATAGATATTCATGCAGTTGCAGTCAATGTTCCCTTTGTGGCGGTGCCCGCCATGCTGTGTCAGAACGCCAAAGGTGCCCCCAGGCTCAGAAAGGTTTGGGACCCCTTGCCCTAGACCCTCTGCAAGGGCAAAATGGCCGCACGTTCCCCTCTGGAACGGCCCACACACCAGTGGCTTTCTAGTGCAGCCCCCAACTCGGTACTTACCACTCCCCCCCGCAAGAAGAAGTTGTATTCATCCATCTTGAGGTTGCCAGACACCTCCAGGATCTTGGCACACATCTGGAAACTGAAGAGCAGCTTGTGGCGTTCAAAGAGGCCCCGGCAGGTATATCTGGGCAGAAGGAGAGAGCCGGTGGGGCGGAGGCTGGCGGCTTGGGAGGGGAATGGCCCGCGCCCGGCCTGAGGGCTGCACGTCCTCAGCCTCCTGCTAGCAGGGTCAGTTTGGTGCAGTGACTAGGAGCGCAGACTCTAATGTGGGAGAACCAGGTTTGACTCCCCATGCCTCTGCATGCAGCTGCTGGTGTGACCCTGGGTCAGTCACAAGTTCTGTCAGAGCTGTTCTCTCAAGAGCAGTTCTCAAGAGAGCTCCTTCAGTCCCACCTACCTCCCAGGGTATCCGTTGTGGGGAGAGGAAGGGAAGGAGATTGTAGGCCGCTCTGAGACTCCTTCAGGTAGTGAAAACCAGGGCATAAACCAGCTCTTCTTCTTCTTCATCATCCAGGGACTTGCCCTGGGGCCTGTCTCTCTCCTTCTGCCTCAGTTTCTCCCCCTCCCCAGGTTATTATAAGGTGGGAAGGGGTCTTGTTTGGTGTAGTGGTTAAGATCTGGGAGAACCGGGTTTGATTCCCCACTCCTCCACATGCAGCTCTGGTGTGACCTTGGGTCCGTCACAAGTTCTCTCAGAGCTGTTCTCTCAAGGGCTGGTCTCAAGAGAGCTCTCTCAGCCCCGCCTACCTCACAGGGTGTCTGTTGAGGGAAGGGGAAGAGAAAGGAGACCGTAAGCTACTCTGAGACTCCTTTGGGTAGTGAAGGGCAGGGTATAAATCCAATCTCCTCCTCCTCCTCCTCTTCTTCTTTTTCTTCTTCAGCACAAGGATCTTTGCTGTATGACTGAAGATCAGCTACGGTAGCTGTTCTGTGGCTGGCTCTGCTGTCTCCAGCAGCCATTTTGGTGCAGCTCATTTGTGGCTGTGCCCGCCATGCCGTGTGAAAATTCCAATGGTGCCCGCAGGCTCAGGAAAGGGGGGGGCCTAGCACGGCTTGTCGAGCATAGCGGGAAGGAGAAGGTGACCCCCCCCGGAGCCCCCTCCGACTGCTGGGTTGTCCTCTCGGCAGAGCCGGCTACCTGTAGACCGCATAGGTGTGGTACTCGTTGAGGTAGCGGATCCGCTCATCCAGCTTGGTGCTCCGGTGGCTCTTCTGGATGCTGAGGTTGAACAGATCGATGTAGGAGTCCAGGGAGAACTGGTACATGGGGTCGATCTTCCCCATGTCGTTGAGGACGAAGAAGAGGATGGAGGCCCTTTGAGCGCAGGGGCGGTAGGCCTGGCAGGAGTGCAAGCGGTGGGTGAGTTAGTTAGCAAAAAAAAATGAGCCAGAGGTCAACTGGGAGCCAGATGGAGCAGCAACACGGGTCGCCCACACGGCATGGACTGGCAAGGAAGCCCTACATGGCTTGAGACGGGGGTGTCTGAAGGACCGTCTTGTCCTCTACGTTCCTGCCCAGGAATTAAGATCATAGGGGAGAGGTCCTCCTGACTGTCCCATCAATCAGACAACCTTGTTTGGTGGGTACACCAGACAGGGCCTTTTCGTTGGCAGCCCCACAGTTATGGAACCACCTCCCCAGGGCGGTGTGCCCGGTCCCCTCTCTTTCGATGTCTAGGAAGCACCCGGAGATGGTTTTATTTAGGGCTGCATTTGATTCAGGCAATCCTAAATTGTGATTTTAAACTTAAATTTTATGTATTTTTAGGTAATCTTTTTTTTATTATACTGTAAGCCGCCCTGAGCTCTGGAAAGAGGGGAAGGTGACTAATAAATGTTTTAAATGAACAAAAATAAATAATGAACAAGCAGAGCAAGTTTCTAGCCCCTCTTGGTTGGGATGAAGGGGACCAAAATGGAGGTGGCTTCTTTTTAAAAGCCCAGAAACCAGGAGGGGACTGGGCGCGATTCCCGCACAGTCAAAAGGCTCCCTGTTCCTCCCCAGTACCTACCATTCTCCCCACCTGTTCTGCCCCATTAATTCAGAGTCTCCCGGCGCAGTTTCTCACCCAAGATCCCACCCCTCTTTTACCTCCCGGGCAGTGTCGATCTTGATCTCTGTCGTCTCGCTGGTCTCCAGCTGCTCCGTGACCTCGGTGGCTGTGAATTTTGAGGTCTGCAGCGTGTTCACCAGCTGCACGTCGTCCAAGAGGGACCCCGTGGCTTCGTTCAGCAGCCTGAGGGGGGAAGGAGGGCACAAGGAGGGTCTGAACTGCAGCAGGCCTGGGGAGCAGAGTACAGGCAGGGCAGCGCTCCCCCACTCCCCCCCACCCGCCCAGGCCAAGCCGCAAGGGACGGGGAGGCAGAGAGGCCCTCCTGGGGCGACAGCGGCCTACCTCAGGATCTCGTCCTCCAGTTCTTTCAGCTTCCTTTTGCCCGCAGCAATGTTGAGCACCAGGGAGTCCTTCTGCTCCTCCAGTTCAGGCCTCTCCTTCCTCACCACAATCCCCAAGAGCTGGGCCTCCAAGCCCTGAGGAAGCCCGAGGTACTCGACACCTGGTTTGGCAGTCTGAGGGAGGCCCTCTCCCTGGCTCCCTCCCCAGGGAAATCGGGCTGCCCCACCCCAAGGTCCACGGGCCAGGCTGGGGCAGGGAGCCTGGGCTCAGCTCCTGCCTCAGGGTTCCCCAACGTGATGCCCCTGGGCACCAGGGCACTTTCCTGACATCGGCCAAGTGTTTTCAGGTGGGTGGGGCCTGGTGGAGCTTTTGCCCAGAAAGGCTTCTGACTGGCCACTGGGAATTTGATTGGCTGTGCGGATTTTTAAAAACACTGCTTTGGCCGCAGCTGCCGCCAGGGCACAAGGACCTCCCCACCGTGACTGAAGGTCAGCCGCGGCAGCCATTTTGAGCCCGTGCCCACTACACTGTGTCAGGATTCCGAAGGCGCCCTCAGGCTGAGAAAAAGGCCGGGGAGCCCCCCGCCTTACCTGCTCCTTGACAGCAAAGTTGACAATGGTGGTCTGGGAGGAGGTCTCCGGGGTGTAGTGCGGGTTGGAGAGCTTGGTGGTGAGGTAGAAGCGGAATTCTGGGTGATAATCCACCTCCTTATCACCCAGCCTGATCAGCAGGCGCGCACCTGCCCCACAGAAAAAGCAAGTCAGGGGCCAAAGAAAACAGACACCTCACCCCCTTCATCCAGGCCCTGGGACCCCTTTCCTTCGAGCTGGGAGGCCAGCTTCCTATGGGGCGCCTGCCTTCCATCCTCCCAGATAACTAGGCCAAGACACACAAGCTAGAGACATAAAATTTCTGGAGATTTTGAAGCCGCGGGGGGGGGGGGGGGGGGCGGACGACAGAAATAGGGGAGATCCAAATCTACGCAGCAGCTACTGCCCTATCAAACCTAAACTAATTTTACAGCTTTAACATTTAAAAAATAAACTCTGGAAGTCTCTCCCGGGGGAGAGTCGTCTGTCTCCTTCTGCTGCCAGTTTCCGCCAACAGGTGAGGACTTTTTGTTTGTTTGTTTCATTTGGCATTCTCTCAATGATTCCTCCTTCCTGACCAACGTTTTAATTGCTGTTTCCGTGTTTTGTGTTTTGATGGTTCTTTCATTGTTCTTAATTATGTGTGTGTCGGGTGGGCGGACTGTGATGGTTGTAAAATGTGATTTTTGTAACGACGTATATTTTATATTGTTAGGTGGCCTTGGTGGGCCCTCGTAAGGGCAGACAGGCAGGAGGCAAATTTGGTAAGCACATAAATAAATGCCCCATGTATACTACCACATAGAAATCCAGTGTCTGACATATTTGTGGAACTTAACAAGTTGTCAAAGCCTTCGTTTTCAGCGGCGAGTACTTGAGCGAGGACTGCAAGCGGATGCAGCCTGCTGGTCCGTGTGTCACCAAGGTTTGAAGGGAGAGGTGAAAAGGTCAGCCCGCAAGGGGAAAGTCAGGTCAGAAGGACAAGAGAAGGCACGCAACAGCTGAGAAGCGATGAAACCCCGGTCCCCTCGTGAAGAGCTGGGATCCTTCCCGTTGCAGAAATGCCTCTTGGATTCGAGAACTGTGTGTGTCTACGGCACGCTCACCTTGTCTTTAAAAGAATTTCACTCATTCTCAAAGAGTGTGGGGGGGGGTTGTGTACCCCAAATTTTCCACTTTTTAGTTGGAAGAAGGAACGTTTTTGTCCCCTGAATTTTCCGTTCTGGGCTTTCACATCCCTACAGACGCCTGTTCCGAAGGGACTCCAGGAGACCCTCTCCCTTCTCAGCCACGCTCCGCCACCCCCGAGCTCACCCACTTTGGTGACGGACTTGTTTAGGATGGGGGCCAGCGTGGGGTCGAGCTCCTCTTGCACGTTCTGCAGCAGGACAGGGGAGCCAAACTGGATGGCGTTCTCCAGGATGCGCAAGTAATCGGGCATCTGCAAGTCGATGATCTTGAGGCCCTGTTGGAAGACAGACCGGGGCGGGCGGGAAGGGGGGGCCTGCATCAGCACCAGCGATCCAGGGGGGCCTCTGGAACCCTCTGCTGCCTAGCTCCCCTGGCGCCCTCTGCAGGAAAGACGGGCTATTTGCAGCGGAGGGTGGGCTAGGGAGAAAGGAAGAGGCAGAGACGGGGTGAGGACGGGGAGAGAAAGGTGGGGAGTCACCGTGGTGCCTTGGGGGGGCAGAGGAGCGCATTCTGCATGGATTCAGACATGTGTCCGTCTTAACTGCATGTTCCAGGGTGCAAATGGGGAGAGGCCGTGGCTCAGTGCTAGAGCACCTGCTGGGCATGCAGAGAGTCCTGGGTTCAGTCCCCGGCGGCCTCTCCAGCGAAAGGGTTAGGGAGCAGGGGACGTGAAAGACTGTGGAGACTGACACACCGTACAGGACACTTCCCCCCCCCTCAGACACCCTAGAGAGGAATGCCACCCCCTCAGGACTCCCGTGAGCAGACCCCCCCGAGTCCTCCTTACGTTCTTGGCTTCCATGTTCTTGATCCACTTGGTGGCCTGGCACTGCGGGTCGATCATCAGAGGCCACCTGGGGACGGGAGCCACGCTTCAGTGCCATCGTCTCAGCCCCTCACAGGTGGGCTTCCCGGGACCCTCAGGACAGGGAGACGGGGAGCAGCCCGGGACGGAAGGCTGGGTCCAGGGACAAGCAGGCTAGCCTCCCAAGGGCCGGGAGAGGCCGGTGCTCACCGGTTGCCCCGCGTGACAATGATCCCGTTCTCGGTGGAAAAGTTGTCCGAGGGCAGCCCCTGGATGTTCCAGTTGCGAACGATGGTTGGGTTGGTGAGGAAGCCGTCGCACGTGAAGCCCGGAGAGCAGGGCACGTGGAGCTCCCGGATCTGCAGGCGCGGAGCAGGCGGGTCAGCCAGGGGCAGGAGGAGGGCCCCGCTCCGGTCCTGCTCCGCTTGCCCTCCCAGTCCTACGGTGCCAGGTCCCGAACGGAGACTCATGGTTCAGGCAGAGACACGGGACTTTGGAAGGGACTTCCACCGGCTCCCGCCAGCATGGCAACGGCCAATGGCCTGGCCCCCCGTGAGCACCGCCGACTGCCATGCGCTAGGGGGACACTTTGAAGCAAGCCATGTGCCCCAGAAGGGCCCCCGAAACAAGGCTTCCTGCCGACAACAATTACCTGTTTGGCCCAGATGTGCGAGAGGATCTCATCCCGGTAGTTGGACAGGAAGGGCCCCATGTAGGACAGGAAAGCTGACGCCAACAAACAGTCCCCTACGAGGTAACCCAGGTCTTCCTCCAGGCCCTAGAGGGAGGCGGGAGATGGGCTTGTCTCCTGCTCACCACCAAGGCTCCCTCTAAGCTGCGGAGCCTTTGTGAGCAAAAATTCTACTTTGTGAGCTACTGGCATGAAAGTTGCGAGAGAGCCACTTGGCTACTACTGCATGAGTTAGTTTGCTCTGGAGCCACATCCTTCCTGAGCAAGAACAAAAATGTGTGAGCTGGAGGCTAAAGAACTGTGAGCTGGCTCACACTAACTCAGCTTAGAGGGAACGGTGCTCACCACCTTCCCCCTCAGGCTGTGTCCCACTTCCTTGGGGACTCCGTGGGACATCAGAAAGAGCCCCCACCTCTCTGCCTTCCACCTTTGCCTTCCTGCACCACCAAATGTCCCAGCCTTCAGGCATCCTTCCTTGCGTCACAAAAAATGACAGCTGAAACGCAACGGCCCTCCAAGTGACGCCTAAGGGGGTTGAGTCCTGCCCCCCGCTCTGCTTGCCCTCCCAGTCCTACGGCGCCAGGTCCCGAATGGAGACTGATGGTTTAGGCAGAGGCACGGGACTTTGGAAGGGACTCCCACCGGCCTCCCACCAGCACGGCAACGGCCAATGGCACTGCCGACTGCCATGCTAGGGGCACACTTTGAAGCAAGCCATGTGCCCCAGAAGGGCCCCCGAAACAAGGCTTCCTGCCGACAACAATTACCTGTTTGGCCCAGATGTGCGAGAGGATCTCATCCCGGTAGTTGGACAGGAAGGGCCCCATGTAGGACAGGAAAGCTGACGCCAACAAACAGTCCCCTACGAGATAACCCAGGTCTTCCTCCAGGCCCTAGAGGGAGGCGGGAGATGGGCTTGTCTCCTGCTCACCACCAAGGCTCCCTCTAAGCTGCGGAGCCTTTGTGAGCAAAAATTCTACTTTGTGAGCTACTGGCATGAAAGTTGCGAGAGAGCCACTTGGCTACTACTGCATGAGTTAGTTTGCTCTGGAGCCACATCCTTCCTGAGCAAGAACAAAAATGTGTGAGCTGGAGGCTAAAGAACTGTGAGCTGGCTCACACTAACTCAGCTTAGAGGGAACGGTGCTCACCACCTTCCCCCTCAGGCTGTGTCCCACTTCCTTGGGGACTCCGTGGGACATCAGAAAGAGCCCCCACCTCTCTGCCTTCCACCTTTGCCTTCCTGCACCACCAAATGTCCCAGCCTTCAGGCATCCTTCCTTGCGTCACAAAAAATGACAGCTGAAACGCAACGGCCCTCCAAGTGACGCCTAAGGGGGTTGAGTCCTGCCCCTTGTCAAGCACTCTAGCCCTTGTGTTTTGTTTTGTTTTGTTTTGGGGGGAGAGGAGATAAAAGAGCTCCGGATTCGGGGCCCCACCTTCATTGTTTCCTCCCACCGGATTTTCTCCCCAGCCAGGCCGGAGACCAGTTTGGCCGCCCGGTCCAACTTGATCTCCATCTCCTCCGACTTCTTGCGCAGCTCCTCTTTCTGGGCCAGCTTCTCCTCGTACTCCTTCTTGAGCATCTCCAGTTTCTCGGCAACCTGAGCAGGGAGAAAGGGGAGAGGTCTTAGAAGCGGGCACAGGTACGAGGGAGGGAGGGAGGGAGGGAGGGAGGCCTCCGCCGGTGTATCTGCGGCAAGACCAGAACAGGTTGCCCTCTTGTCCGGAGACTGCAGTAGGGCAGGGAAGGATCACCTGGCCTCACTCGCCAGCCGCAGGGGTCAGGATCGTTTAACCACTTCCATCCCAGCAAGAATGCCACCCGGACCGGGTGCCCCTCACTCCAAACTTTGTTCGGACACTGCAACCCAAACTTCCTGCACTGCCACTTCCGCGTCACTCTCCTTCCCTTGTGGGTTTTGGGGTTTTTTTAGTTTCTGAGGCTGGTACTCCCCATATATACCCCAGAGAGCACTACAGTCTGGGTCTCAAAATCGGTTGACCCTCCCTGGCCCGAGGGAGGCCAGGCTAGCTGCTACCAGGGCCGGGGCCTTTTCAGTGGCGGCCCCTACCTGGTGGAACGAGCTCCCGGAGGAGATCAGGGCCCTGCGGGACCTTTCACAGTTCCGCAGGGCCTGCAAGACGGAGCTCTTCCGCCAGGCATTCCATTAGGGGCCGCCGCTACCGTAGAGCCCTGGTCCGTGAGTCTAACATCCAGCTGTTTGCAAGCAGAAACATCGGAGAACATCTGGGCAGTGGAAATCCCTTTGATAATGTACCATCTAAGTTAATTTTAATCGCCGCCAGCACTTTGTGTTTATATTGGTTTTATTTGTGGTGTTTTATATAATTGTATGATTGTATGATTTTAAGCTGTATTTATGTCTCTATGGAAGCCACCCTGAGCCTGCTTTGCGGGGAGGGCGGGGTACAAATTTGATAATAAATAAATAAGCTCCCCACTCCCAGTCTTGCCCCCCCCAGAACGTTTTCTGGCTACGGGGCTGCTGCCACAGGAGGCGGAGCCAGCCACAAAATGGCTGCCACCGCCGGCCTTCGGCCACACAGTGAAGAAGAACCTTGTGCTGTGGCAGTGGAGGCTGCCAGAGCAACGTTTTTAAAATATCTGCCCAGCCAATTGGAAGCTGTGCTGGGCAAAAACCCCACCTGGCCCCGCCCACCTGGTGCCAGCAAAGGTGCCCGTAGGTGCCACGGTGCCCGTGGGCACAACTCTAGGGGCCTCTGCACTCGTAGGGGATGCGACAACCGCGAGATCACAGACTCTCCACGCTGGGAGGGGTGGTGGGCACCAGGGCCCCCCAGCAGCCCAGCCACACGCCCGGCTCTCCCCCCGGGGCAGCCTGACCTCGCGCAGCCTCTCCTGGGCCTCCGCCTGGGCCGCCTGCTTCTCCGCCAGCTGCGCCATGGCAGCGTTCATGCGAGCGCGCTTCGGCTCCACCACGCGGTAAATGCGGCCGTACATCTGGGAGGGAGGCAAAGCAGGGCCACCTGCAGAGGCTGCCTTGGAGCATTCTCCTTCCCCCCCACCCAACAGGCCTCCATTCCCATTCCTCCCCGGGAACCCC